AAAAAGTTGTTCTAAATGAAACTAATCTGGTAGTTTAGATAAGTACATGAGGAAAAATCCATTTTAAAAATAATTACTCAGTCTAAATGTTGACAAAGAGTATATTAGTAAAATCAAATGCCTAAACTAAATTGAGTAACTAAATTGTGATTTCAGTTGATCCAAACATTGACTCACAAATCATTTAAAGGTTTAGTGAATGGGTTTCAGCTTATACGATTTGTTTTTTTTCAGACTTTTTTTCTTTCACTGTGTTTTTGTGAAAGGTTTATGTGCAAATGCTGAGACATATTTGAAAATTCAATTGATCTACTAGGGAATCCATGCTGGCTTTTTTTTTAAACATATGAAGCCCATATATAATGAATTCATGTTTATTTTCAATTTTTATTTTCTGTTAGTCTGCATTTCCAGTTCATAATGATCACATTTTCATGGGGAGGTGCTGCGTGTACATCACACATATCAATTTTTCCCTCATTGTTTTGGAAGCAAGATTGCTCAGAAAGAAAGGTTACAGGTAGGTCTGCCTAGGGAAGAATTTAGGAAAGATAAAATTTCTTTTCTTTTTTGTTGTTTTGTTTGTTTTTGCGGTGGTACCAGGGACCACACTCAGGACCTTGCGCTTGCTAGGCAGGTGCTTATGCCACTGAGCTATATCCCCAGCCCCTAAAATTTCTTCTCTGATGTCCCATGCCTTACCAGCTCCTAATCACCACCACCTTTTTGTGTTTTAACATTTACCATACCAGGGGTGTTCTGCTATTTTCTTAGCATGCTTTTCCCACCTGGAGTTAAAATACTTGGAGTGAAGTACACTAAGTTCTACTAATGTGTCTATTTTTAATTAGCAAAGAAGGATTTGAAGGTCCCTTTAAGACAAAAAGAGGAGAAAAGTTACATCAAGAATTTTGACACTTACCACATAAGTAGTCACAAGAGTTGGGATCAGTAAATCTCATTTCCTATTTTGTATCCTTGAAAGCCAATTCCAGCTGTGAAGTTCTGTTTTAGTTTTAGCGTATCCACAGAATCTCACATTGTTAGAGGGAAGAACTGGAACGTGGTTCCATGAGGGCTTATTTTCACAACCATATAGAGCTACTTGAGACATTCCCTTCTATATTTTGTGACATTGAGTACCTAGAAAAGCTCAGCTGAACTCCAGAGAAAACAAGCTCAGACACAAACTTTGTTGTTTGCACTCAGAAGAACTATGTTTTCATGTTTTTTAATATTTTGGCTTTTGGATGGGGGAAGGTTGGGGAGGAGGATGAGAAAAGAAAAGAAAAGCAGAACCCACCCAGGTTGGTAATAATGATTGCCTGTGTTCCAGTATGGAAAGACCTCCATAGTTGGACCACTGGGAATTCAAGGCCATCCTGGCCTACACGGGGAGTTCAATTCCAGCCTAAACTACATTGGAGACTCTGTCTTAAATCAACAAAAACAAACTAACAAAGCCTATGCCCTTGAACATTATTTCCTTCTCTTTAACTTCCTCAGGAATGTCAGAGATTATTTATTCAGATATAGTGACTTTATATTTGTAGCAGAAAAATATGGGAGTTCAAGGCCATGAATTCATGCGCAGGCCATGAGTGTAGCCAGTAAAGGTGATTAACATAATCCACACATTTCGGATTCTGTGGATTTGAGATCAAAAGTGCTGCTCTCATTCACCCTTCGCAGCTTTAAAAGCTACTTCTGGAGTGCCTTTGGAGTCCCAGAACTTTCCCAGCTGGTCTACTAATCATTTGCTCACCCTGATTTCTGCATTTGCTGATACAAGACTCGCTGCCTCTGGCTGTGTCTTCCTGTTAATATTTAAATTGGTCCCTTCCATTGCCTTGAACAAATACTCCAGTCTTAGGCATTTCGGAGGGGAAGAGTAAAAGGACATACCGCTCCTTGAGTACCTACAAATCACTGCAAGATGTAAGGGGCTGAGAAGTGGTCTCATCTAGTCCTCAGAGCGACTAGTCCAAAGTGAGTATAACACCTGATTTAAAGATCAAGAAAATGGGACACAAGGTAGACTTGCGTAATATCCAGCCACTTAATTTGCTTTTGTGTCAGATCTAGGAGATGGTCTGAATATTCTGATTGACTCAGAAGTCTATGTGCTTTTCTGGTCATTTGGATTTCAGACCTGCCTTCCTCAAATTAGGTGTACTGGATGGAACAGATAAACTAATAAAATAGTCATTAGAACAAACAAAAATAGATGATCTAATACAACTGTCAAGAATAATGACCATGGGGAAGGGAAGTTGTCATAGGATGCGGAAGATGCTTAATGCAACCGAGGGCCCAAGAAAAATGCAAAGCTTATAAATATATTTTTATTTTCTTCATCTTGGTCATTAAAGGTTCAAACCATTTCCATGAGCTCTTGCTGTATCAGCTGGTTTGGGAAAATGAGGCAGAGAGGCTGAGCCTTGTTTAGATTAGAGAGGACAACCCGCTTCTGGGATATAAACTATTGTGTAATGGAACAGACAGTTAAGAAACAGCAGTCACTGACGCACCTGCTCCTTGCCCCATTCTAGACTTTCCTGCCCTGAGGACCTAACAGATGTTTCTACATGGATCTCCATGTGCTGTCTTTCTATGCCAGGTTCCCACACAAGAATGAGGAAGAAAGCACTCAGCAGATGCTAGAGAGGCTCCATTTACGATAATTCTTGGTCCTTGCCTTTCTTGGTCATCGGTATATTGCTAAGAACTCCACCCATCTCCTGATTCTTTAACCTGTTGCCCACTAATGTCTCATTCTTAAATAAGTGTAACAGTAGCAAAAAATATCCTGTATTAGGTTCCTGGAGACAGTTTCTTTTGTTTTTGTTTTCTTCCTAGGCCCTCATAATCATCTCTATAGTAGTAATAATTTCTGCCTATTCATTTCCTGTCATACCATGACGTTGTCCACGGGAATATTGTCATTGGCCCTCAAAATAGGCAAGAGGATGGAAAAGAGCTGTGTATCCTGGAGCATTGTACAGTTGGAAGGATTTATTATATACTATACTTTGAGTACTGGAGAAGGATTCACTCTAAAAATCAATGTCTCTTACTGTAAAGGCATCAAGATTGTACAAAGCTCTGGATTGGTGAATTTTACATGCTCATGAAATTTATGGAGATGCATGTGCAGCATATCATTTACCAGGGCTGTGGCTCTCCAGTGATAAGGAGTAGAGGCTTTTCTCACTCCAAGAAATGATGCAGAATGCAGGTCGGTATGTCTAAGGGCTACCTCCGGCCACACTCAGGTGCTTACTACAGCCATTATCTTTTTCTCAAGCATTGCTCTGTGTTTGTGTGCAAGGTGGATTCATTTGCTCCAATATTTGTACCACGTATATGTGAAGGCAAAACCTAGAGAAAAACACTAATTTGACCTTTCAATGTGAATATGGCTGCAGCAGGAGGGAAGCAATTGGAAACAGAACAATAACATTCGCTTGAGACATGGTCAAGGGGAGTTTTTCCCACACCAGATCAGAAATGTGCTCAAGTCAAGTCTTTAGTCTATGGTCAAAGAAATGACTTAAGGGCCGGCCAAATAGCTCAGTGGATTAAAGAGCCTGCAAGCAGGCGCAAGGGCCGGGGGTTCGATCCCTGGGCCTGCTATGCTGGCCCAGCCCCCGGGGCTTGTTGAGATGGCTATTGAGACTGGGCATGGTGGCGCGAGCCTATAATTCCAGCTCTTGGGAGGCTGTAAAGGTGAATCACTATGAGTCTGATCTAGTAGTGAGACCCTGAACACCCTGTAGACCCTTCCCTAAAATACAAAAAAAAAAAAAAAGCAAAAATGTTATAACATCACTCCCCATCTTCTCCTCTTCTCAGCATAGTCTTTCAGGGCAAGACAGATTACTCCATGCTTTGTAGCTGCTCCTCTATGAGCATCTCAAAGAGGATATCATGTCGTTCATTCTTCCTAGCTCAAACATTTAACACAAAAGGTATATAACAAACCAATAGTTTCTTGAGAAGACAAAACAAGAATGTTAAATGTGTTGCACACAGAGCACTAGCTTTTAATGCTTACATGAAAAGAGCTTAAATGTGATTATTTGCCTATCATTCTAGTGTACTGCCCTAGCTGTATATGAAAGAGAAAAGTTTTATAAGACAATTAGGGAAATGTTCTGAAAGATAGTGCAAAAGGTGACAAGCCAATTCTAATAAATTTCCAAGTTGAAAGTTATGCTAAATAGCTAGTTCTTTTTTTTTTCTCTCTCTCTTTTATTTTTCCATTTCTCCCAGGACACTTGTAGAAAGGAGGTCAACAGAACAGTTACTTGTGCGCCTGGGTTCTCCCCTATAGTGAGGCTGCGGGTGTGGCAACAGGTCCTTGCATAGCCATGAATATCCCAGATGAAAAACCATGTTTCCAACTGAAGGCCTCTGCGTGGCAGCCAGATGTACTACCAAGGGTCCTGTTTATTTGAATTTATGGTTCCTCTCTGTATCCCAAATGGCCTAGAAGGCTACACGTGGAATGCCCCACCGGCATTTGCAGTGACAATTGCTCACCTTTCCTCAGCATCTGTGTCTTTTCTCAGTTCATGTCTCTTGCACAGTGAAAAAGAGAGGGGGGAAGAGAGAGAGGAGAGAGAGGGAAGCGTGGGGGGACAGAGTGGGAAGGAGGGGTGGAGGGAGGGAGAGAGAGGGAGAGAGAATGGAGAAAACAACAGGCGAAAAAGGAGAATGTAATTATTTTCCTTTTCAGAAAGGAGATGCTTAAGAAAGATATTAAACTGCACCCCAAACATTCGGGAATGATATGACCTGGACATGGCTTTTTCATTCTTTCCTAGCAAGGAAATATTCTCATCTAGAAGCACAAATTACAATTTATGATTAGTGTGGGAGGAGCATACGGCAAGCATATGGTTCAAGGCCTCGCTTTCCTCTGAGACCATTAGCCGGGCCCTTCCCTGCTCTTCAGCGTCCCACGCTGACCTTAGCTCCCGGGTTTGTGTTCCCAGGACCTCAATGCAGTCGCAGACTTCATACGGCAACAGCTCCCCGCCTCTGAACAAGATGAACAGCATGAACAAGCTGCCTTCAGTGAGCCAACTCATCAACCCCCAGCAGCGCAACGCGCTCACCCCCACCACCATCCCAGACGGCATGGGATCCAACAGTAAGCACCTCTCCCTTCCCTGAGCTGAGAGGAGCGGTGCTGTGCGCTATGCAGGAGAAGACTGCTTGGGGGATGGGGCAAGGCTTTTTCCTAAGCCGAAGAAGGTCAGTGAGGCAGAGCAGACCAAAATGGAAAGGTTCACTTTCTCAGAGAGCACTGCTTGCTCTTGGAATGTGTGTTTTATTATAAAACCTACGAGTAGAGATGGAGGAGGCTATTGGCTCAGTAGGAACAAGTATCTCTATTTCCTGCCAAGCTGGATGAAGGCCCTTCCCCCTCCCCTTATGATAGTCAACTGAAAATGTAGATGATAAGTGGGAGGTAACATGGTGGATAAACTTAAAATGTAAATAAATGGATTCTAATCTGGTCTCTATTAGAAGAAAACTAGCTGTGGAGTTGTGGACAAATCATTTCATTTCAACCCATTAGAATGGCCACGCTACAGGTCTAACACGTGACAGCTGTATCCTGCCAGTCTTAGCATTCTCAGCTCATCTATCCTATTCCACCAGAGTTAGCGAATCTGCAGTATGAAACAGACTGACTTTTCTTATTCACATGTGTGAATCCCCCTTGTTAACTAAGTGTAAATATGAAAGGCAATGTGAGAATTGCCTCCAAATGAATTATAATGGACACATGCCTTTGCTACAAATAAAATTATGGTATCTCATAATTAATTTGCTAGAACTAGGTCTAGTAAAGTGTATGTACACACTTGAAAGGAAAAATGGGTGGTAAATGCAGAGAGTTGTGTACTACTTTCAAGCATGCAAAAGACTGAGCACTAATGTATGTGTCTTATGATCCTCCATCTATAAAATGAATTTTGTCCTTCAAGTTGCCTGGTTATTTCAAGGATTCAAACTGGGGTTTAAGAATTACATTGAAGAAATCTGTGTTTTCCGAAGTAATTTAAGCTAGGACAGGGTTGCTCCTGTGTGATCGCATGGCGCACATTCGAATTTCAGGGACCTAGAGGAGTGTGGCTTAGGGATGTGTGGAGGGTGACGTGTTTAGTAGGCAGAATACCTTGCCCCTGGGGATAAGTCCATCCTAGGTGTCAAAACCTGACCCCTGAGCTTTGGCACACTGAGAGGGAAAAAAACAGCAATCATTCAATTTCTTCTTCTTTATTTTGTTTTTCTTGTGACAACTAGGGTGTCCCAACTTGCTTCTTGGGATGACAGCATATTGGTAGGAAAAGTAGTGATGCTGCATTTACACTGATGCCACTTCTAATTTTCCCATTTTCTTTTATTGACAATTCACAGTTATCCTTTGACGTCCCTCAGGGAAATGAGAAGGGAGGCTGGCTGGGGTGTAGCTTGGTTAGTGGCAGGCTCTGCCCTGCGGTACCCTTCTGTTCATAACGCAAAACCAAATCACATTTGTTTTTCTATAAATAGATAATTTGGGGTTTTTTTCTTGACCTGAAGGAAAAACTTGTTTCATGAATATTATTAATATTAAGCTTTTCTACTCTATAGTAATTATCGCTAATTCACAGTTTAATAAAATACCAGTATTAGTGACGTTCCTACAGAGTGCTAATGCGGGCCACAAGAAAAGAGCTACAATTTTTCATGATAGCCTTCTTTACTAAGCCAACATTCCCTAGAAATATTAAAACAAGCCCTCCACTTCCAAATACCTGTTCCAAAGGTCACTCTCTTATTCCCAGTTTGTTTATGTGTTCACTCAACCTGGTTTTCAAGCATCTGACTTGCCAGGTACTGTGCTAGGTCTGTGAAGATCAAACCATGTATAAGAACTAAATGCTAAGCAGAAGATTTGTATAGTGAGGGAGACAGAAATATCACCCCCAAGAGCCAACACAAAGGAAGACCATTACCATAAAGAGTAGTGATCAATGAGAGAAATAGAAGGAGTGAAAAGGATGGGAAGAGATTGTCCTGGAAGAATAAAGGCCAAGAAATGTGCAATTAGGTTGGGGTCTGGCATCCCTTCCATTTGACTAATTGCATGGTGTTTGAAGGGACAGAGTAAGAGATGAGGCCAAGAAACAAGGCTGGTGGTTTAGGCCCCTCTAACACTAACCAGGAAGGATGGACCACTGGGATGCTGGTACCGGATCACAGCAGTAACCCTCTCTGTTCCTCCTGCTTTTGTTCAGTTCCTATGATGGGCACCCACATGCCAATGGCTGGAGACATGAATGGACTCAGCCCTACCCAAGCCCTCCCTCCCCCACTCTCCATGCCATCCACCTCCCACTGCACCCCCCCACCTCCGTACCCCACAGATTGCAGCATTGTCAGGTGAGTCTAGAGCCTATGCTCCTGGGGGCCTGTCCTCAGCATCTCTGGGGGTTGCGGGGTGGACCCCCCCCATCAAGGTTGACACAACAGCTTGAAGGAAAGAAAGTTGTCCAATGATTGGAGATCATTCACTGGTTCTCTCTGATCTATGCAGTGGTTGGCATAGTTTAATCAAAGAGGATGACTGTGATTGACACAGGAAACTATGGCTACATGTTATATCTACATGTTATATCTACATGTTATATCTATGCAGGTTTCATGCCTGTTTCCCATGCCTTCATTGCCTCCCTCTTCCACCTTCGCAGTTTTTACACCATCCACAGTGGCCCTCAGATTGGTGCTCAGGGCTGGGTTTCCCGAAGGGCAATAAACTTGCTATCTCGCTCCCTTTCCTGCTCTCTAGGCCTTATAGCTCTCAGCCCCCATGGAACTGATATCTTGGAGTTGGATGTTCACACAAAATTTCAGTGTTAGCACAGACAAGATAATTTCAAGAAGCTGGTGGCCTCTTCTCCTCTGCATAGGAAGTGTGGGTACCCTCCATGAAGAACTTCAGACAAGCAGCAGACAGAAATGCATGAACCTCAAAAGATCTGTTTCCTATAGCGACAAATCTGAACACCTTCTGTTTTGGTTTTGCCTGCAGAACTGTTCTTCCATTTGGCTGCCCGAATGACCTGCATTATTGCCCAGGCAGCGTCAATCATGAGGTGGCAAAATGGATAGTTTATGGCACCCAGGGATTGGCCTTGTGAGAAAGGCCGCACCATCAGTTACAGGCCAGCATCACACTAATGATAATTGTATAAGTCAAAAGGGAGTATTGAGTTTGAGGAGTAGCGGCCTGTGATATCTTTAATCAAATGTATTATTCTCCGAAACACCCTAATGCAAAACAATGAGCAGAGATGTTCTTTCTCTACTGAAGGGCTAGGACACGAGACAACTGGGACTCTGACCCCCTGATCCTTTCTTTCACCCCTGCAACGGCTCCTAAGGCACTTACACACAGCCCAAGAATATTAGGGACCATCCTTGGCAAACTGCGATCTGCAGGAATCCCTCAAGTCTACAGATTTTGCATAACCCTCAAGGTCAAGTTACCTGAGAGTGCTTAATCCTCCAATCAAAGGCCCATGCATGTTTTATCAACTCCTAGTCTGCTGTGTAGGGCACCCAGGGCACAATGTTGGGTTTTCCTTTATCTCGCCAATGCCGTTGGGGTGAACTTTCTGTTTCTTCCTTCCTCTTCCCTCCTCCCTCTGCAGTTTCTTAGCGAGGTTGGGCTGTTCATCATGTCTGGACTATTTCACGACCCAGGGGCTGACCACCATCTATCAGATTGAGCATTACTCCATGGATGTAAGTAACTGTTAGACTTTTCTCTTGAGTTTTATTTTTCATTTTCTCCCTATCATGATATATGCTTTGCAGTTCAATCCCTAAAATCTTTAAATTTTGTTTTTGTCATGACCCCAATCTTCAGATCTGATGGAACCTATAAACATGATGGGAAGATTCCCAGGCCTCACCCCATATAAATATCAGAAGCTCAGTCTCCCTTATTTTATCCGATCAGTCAACATGTATTTGCTGTAGCTACACTGTAGGTAAAGTCCAGAAGAAGAGATATAATTCCCACCACCAAGAAAAGTATATATAGTCTTAAAATCAGGTGGGATGGCACCGTCCTTTAATTCCAGCACACGGGAGACTGAGGCAGGAGAATCACTTTAGCTCAACAGTTTGAGACCAGCCTGAGCAATAGAGCGAGATATTGTAACTACAACAACAACAAAATTAAATCAAATAATTTACGTTAAAACAACTGAGCCATTTCAAAGAATCCAGAGAACTGTTCGAGGGTTCTCCTTTGCCTGCCGATATCCCACATGTGGAGAGTGGAAGGAGGCTAGCACTGTCACAACTCATTTTCCAGAGGGAGGAGATGACAGTGTGCAAGCTTTTAGGCTGTACCCCAGTTGACATTTCTGCCTCTCAATAAATTAGGACCTCATTAAGGGGCATCTGGCCTTTCCTTTACATGAAGAGTATATTTTTAAAGTCATTTTTAGTTCTATCAGAATAAAGTCCGTTCATCCCTGAGCACTAGAAATGATCACTGGCCATGGGTTCCAATCCCTTCTATGTCGTTTAGAAATAATCACACCTCGGGGTTATCACTTGATCTCTTTGGGCCTCATTTATCAATCTGGATTTCACCTCTCTCCTACTGGCTGTGATTTGTTTTTATCAAATAAGCTGAATGTGAGGGATCAGCCCACTGCTTCCTATCCCATTTCTTGATCTATTGCTTGCAAAAGAGGTGCTCGGGATTCCAGAGACATAATTTTTCTCCCAGGCTGTTTTTGATACTGCTTTCTTTGGGGTTCACTCTCTTCTCCTCTAGCTTCTGGGGGGCATTTTGGACTGCTGGGGAAAGATAGTCTTTGCCTTTGCTCCTGCTGCTGTAGTACCCTCCTTGAGCACCGATGCTAGAGATGTCCCTGAGTGTAAGATTGCCCCCACCCTGTGGTGGAAGCCACACACTCTGCTTCTCTTCCCTCCATCCCTTGCCACCCTGGGTGCTGCCGCAGGCTAGAATGCCTTATACACCGAAGCCATAGAGAAGGCTTTGCTGGAGTGTCCCACTAAGATTCAGACAATGTTACAATCACTTACATTCACTGGAGAGAACAGAGCTGCCCTAAATTTGGGAGCCTCCTGTAGAAGTCCTACCCAAAGGAACAGGGAATCAATACCTTCCTCGTATTTTGGAAGTCATATTAACTAGTGCTTACGCACGTGCTCCTATCAGAGAGTGTTCCAGGAGAATCCCGCAGCTTTTAGGATTTGCAGATATTCTCCATGAATCCATCTCTTCTTGTCTCAGTTGGCAGAGTTTAGTTTACAAAGACCTTTGAGCTTCAAAAGGATTAAAAGTGCAAGAAGCACAGAATTTGCTCACTTATCTGTGAGAGTAAGACTTTTGTTAAGGTGGTCTTTCTGCTATAACAGGAGGGTAGGATACTTCTAATGGCCCGAAAATCTGTGGGAGGGGGAACAGTATACCACACTACAAACTTCTGAACTGGAAAATGTCGGAAGGTCACCCAGCCTTCTCATCACCATATCAGTTCTTTCCTACTCATTTTTGGAAGTGGGCACCTGTCCCTCCACTTGCTATTGGCACCAGTCTAAGTAATTCGACATCCCTTCCTTGAAGAGAAACAGCTTCAATTGGGGTGGGTCTCCATTATTGGCCTTTGTAAGAAGAAGAGCTGTGACATTCATGGAATGGTAACATAAATGGCTTGCATTTGTGGTGTATATTTTAGAACTAATGCTACAAAACACATTTGCTTTTTAACAATCACATTTACTCCATAATACATGTGAAACTAAAAAGGCAATTTTAACCAATTTGACATGCAAAGAAGGTGAGGTTGACTTACTAGAGTTCTATAGCAGAATCAGAGCCTCTGCCAAGGTCCACTGGCTCCAAGCACAGCGTGCTTTCTACCCACCCTGTCTTTCATGAAATATGTCAGCTATCATTGAAATAAACTAGCTCAGGTAAACAAAAGCAATTCCACCATAGAATATTAACCCTGGAAATACTGAAATGTTTTCTGTCTCCATGTGTAGGACATAGACACACTGTTCTGGATGATCATGCTTTCCTTTGTGTAGACAGCAAGACATCTTTTGGCTAGTAGATCAAGTTTAGGTTTGGAGACTCTCCTGGATCCAGAGTTTATTAAATTCTTTGTATAACTCCACTGTTTTTGGAGCAGGGTCTCATGATGTACTCCAAACTAGCGTTGAACTCTCTAGGTAGCCACCTGGTTGTATAAATTCAGTCTTTTAAAATTCTCTCACCTTCAATTTTTCTATTTATTAAGTGGCATGAAAATATACAACATTGATCTAAGGTTTAATTGTGATTATGACTATAAAACAAATCATTCAATGTGTGGCATATAAAAAACAATTTCAATTAGTGAAAGATTCCCACATGTCCCAACCCTAGTGTTAGGGACTGTCTATTAATACATTTTTTTCTGCTGACTGAACCAGGCAAATTTAAGAGTCAGAAGGTACTTTATGTTTTTCATGGACACTTTTCCCTCTCGTATGAACATAGTGTCTATTGTGTCAATGGGCAAACAGAACCCAGAAGAAAAATAAGTGAATAATTATCCACAAGCCACAGCAGACCCCTCACTTTTGTGCTTCTGTGTTTAGTTTCCTACAGCTCTGGAGACTATCAAAAAGCACATTTGATTTTCCAGGTGAGGGATCAGTAAGTTGATATCAATTAAATTGGAACCCTGAGGCGTGATAAACTGTTCTGGCAGAGGCCCACTTTATCTCTGTGTGCTGACGCTCCCTGCTTCTCTTCCCTGTGGCGCAGGATTTGGCAAGTCTAAAGATTCCTGAGCAGTTCCGCCACGCTATCTGGAAGGGCATCCTGGACCACCGGCAGCTGCACGACTTCTCCTCCCCTTCCCATCTCCTGCGGACCCCCAGCGGCGCCTCCACAGTTAGCGTGGGCTCCAGCGAGACCCGTGGCGAGCGCGTCATCGACGCTGTACGCTTTACCCTCCGCCAGACCATCTCTTTCCCTCCCCGCGATGAGTGGAATGACTTCAATTTTGACATGGATGCTCGTCGCAATAAGCAGCAGCGCATCAAAGAAGAAGGAGAGTGAACCCTGCTCTGCTGGTTCTCTCCATCTTTTGCCTACCTGCCCAGCCCCTAGGAGGCGAGCCTGCCCACTTTCAAAGCATTCTCCCTAGCTCTTTCCCTTCCTCTTCTCAGTCCAGCATCTTAAGGGAAGGAGAAGTGAGAGGCTACTACTTACCTACCGTCTGACCTGGCATCTGATTCTGATTCTGGCTTTAAGCCTTCAAAGCTATTGCTTGCAGACTAAGTTGTCATGGTAGCTAGAAGTGAGTGAATAAAGCAGTGGGTGTATCCTTAAGCAACAGAGATCTCTCATTGACTTTTATAAAGCATTTTCAACTTTATAGTCTAAGACTATATATATTATAAATATATAAATATACAGTATGTATTTTTGGGTGGGGGCATTAAATACTGTTTAAAATGTAATTTAAAGGAATGAAAATCTCATTGCACTTATCAACTTTGAAAATTAACTTCTTTTGGGTAGCTGAACTGTGCCCCTTTCCTCAGGGGTATCATGGATGATGACGTAGGTATTTAGAGCTTTATGATCTGCTTGATGGGGGACAGTGGTGTACGTGATCTTTCAATTCTTTGCATCCTGGATACATACCACATTATGACTTTTGATAAAACTATTTGTATTTACCATTTCTTATTATGTGGTGAGACTGTATATGGGTACACGATTCTCTGCATTGGCTCATTTGATTAGTAGCATCCCTTTCAGTGAGGTTGGTTCACTTTGTGTTTGTCACAAAAAGAACATGGTCTGTATTCATTTTCTCAAATGCTAAAGAGCACATCCTCTCTTGCCTTTGATTGTGAATGAGGAATGTGGGTCAGGGCTAAAATTCTGAATAGATCCACAGCACCCAGTTCTAATGTGATACATCTAGGCATACCTATAACTTCTTTGCATTTAATATAAGACACGTTAGTAGTTACAGGGAAAACATTTGATGCCCTTACAGAAGCCTTAGTATCAAGTTTGTCTATTAGCTTGCTTAACTCAAATCCATATTCACTACTCTTGCTAGAATTCCAATTCATTCATTTGGGATGGGTGCCAACTACCTAGTTTTTGGGTAAAGAAAGCCCAAGAAACATAGACACGACTCCAAATACTAAGTGTCTACTAACTACTATGATAACTCAAAACACTGTGAAGTGAATTTCCTGAAAAGATGTTTTAAAGCATGATAATATGAGGTGCTTCATTTAAAGCTCCTCACAAAACTTTGGAAGATTTTCCTTTTTTGTCTTTGGGGTTAAAAATACCATAGTGAACAGAAAAACACAAAATTATGAGCTGAAATTTCCCTGGGCATCATTTGCAATTACTTCATTTTTGATCAGTAAGCACTCCGGTTCATCAGAAAGTAATGCCGAGGTCCTCAATTCCCATATGTCTCTTTTCAAGCTGCGAGCAGACTTCCCGACATTTCATGATCCTTCATGAGAGGTATTGTCTAGACCACCTCTGCAGAGAATTGTTTTAAAACCTCCAGCAAACATAAAATTGACAATACCCCTCTAGATGTTTTGTAAACATGATTTGTAACAAATATATATTTTTTTAAAATACAAAACAAATATTTTAATATGCGCTAATGTTGCTTAAAATTTTCAAGTGAGTCAAGATCAAGACCTGTCATTGCACATAAACTTCCACTTTAGTAGTAAAAAAAGGTTCATGTGGCTATCAAATTTAGGAAGCTCATCACAAAATGTATATATATTCTGCCTGTGAAATTATATTTTTTTTTCTCTTCTTGGGATAGTAGGCTTTCCAGAACCATAGCTAAAAAGGTTTTTTTTTTGTTGCTGATTTGTATTGTTTTTCTATTTTTATGGGCTTGCAACTTAAGAAGACTATATTGTCAGCTAAGCCACATAGCCATGATTGTCAGATGGGGGAAGGGACACTCGTTTTTTTATGTGTTTATTTGTGTGTACGTGTGTGTGAGAAAGAAAGCAAGTCCTTGATTTCAACGTTTATTGTGCTTCGATGATTGTAAGCACTGTTAATTTCTGGAACAAACATGCAACTTTGAAAATTCACTAGAAAAATACTGTGTCATGGTCATGGCTGGGAGACCAACAGCTTTACCTGTGGTCCTGAGTGTTTGGATAAACCTAGGACTTCGGAACAGTTGCAGCACTACTGAAGTGACACCAGGAACTCAAAACTTCCTGTCCAGTGTCTCAAGAATTTGTTCTTAGCCATAGGAGCCCACATATGCAGTGGCAACTTCCACTCCTCGAATGTAAGAGTAGCCAGGACAAGTGTGAAAGCACCCTAGAGGTGGACAGCTCCACAGAGTTCTAGCGCTCCCGTGGAGTCGCCTGAAAAACAATATGGTGTTGTTTGGAGGATATCATGGACAGAAATAGACCAGAGAATTATCTTTATTAAATCCACTTACCTGTTGTTTTGTTTGTATTCCCCTAAGATACAGTACTTAGCAATGTTGACTATTAAAGAGATGTGGGTTTTTTTATTATTTTTATAATTGTACAAAAATTAAGCAAATGAAAGAAGTTTTATATGCGTATTCATGTTTTCAAAAGTTTCTTATAGATGTGATGCTTTTTTTTAAAGCTTTGGTTGCTTGTCTTTTGTTATTTTTATGTTATGGGCTTTTAGAGAGCCAGAGGCAAATCTATAAGCCACTTATTTGCCAAGATATGCAATAAAATTTTTAAAATTAATAAAAATGCATTGAGGAATTGGGCTGATGTGTGTGTCTCTTATGTCTGTTTTCCATTATTCCAATTTCGGGACTCATTTTTATCAACACAGAACAGGAAACTGAAATCAGCATCGTTGAGTTTCAAATATTGACGATTCCCTTTGCAGCACAAGTTACTTCTTTCTTTTTTATGTTATTCAATCTATGAAATAGACTGAGGATTTTGGTCATTTAGTAGCTGAGGCATTTGTAGTTTTAATATTTTGATTGAGGGAGGGAAAGAGGGAAAGAAAGAGGGGGGAGGGAGGGAGGGAGGGAGAGAGAGAAGAGTTCACTGTAGAACAGGATCACTCCTATGTTCATTACAGTTCCATCATGCTCAACAGTGGCTTCCTGCCCTGTGGGACTGGGCTGCATCTCTCCTGCTAGCATGTGGACTCACTGCAGGTGCAGAGCTCTGACTGCACATGTTCCCCTTGAAATCCAAAATTAAGTAGTATGTGAGTAAACTACCAACTTTTTAATTACATACATATGTGCAGTCAGTAGACTACCAGCCCTGTCAAAATAATCCAGTGATTTTCTTAAAGGAATAACATTTGTTCTTTCATAAGATCAGATCAGATGGCAGGAAACAATATAACACCTTAGACTAATAGAAAACTTCAGAGAAATATACATATAATATTTATATATGACATTTTTAATACATATAAATGCACGTGCACACACACACACACACACACACACACACACACACACACGGATACATAGTAGTGCCTAAGATGAAGAACTTGATTCTTTCTATAGTTCTGGTCACAAATCAAGTTGAATGAGAACTGAATCAAATTCAATGCTTAGGTTCAATATTGGCCTTTTGGGGCAATTTAATTCGGTTCTCATACAGTTTGGTTTACAACCAGAAATATGGAGAGAATATATATCTTTAGTTTCACTGTCTTGATTGATTGATTGTCTTAAATTGACCCAAAGCATTGATGTCGTATGTTCATTTTGACTTTGCATAAGAGCCTGAAGTCCCATGGTGGCTGATCTGGTGACAAGGTGGATGAGGATGCACTGCAATGTTCATAAGCCTGCTTTTCCGTAGGATGGCTCTGGGCAGCCCATTCACTGCATGCTACCATATTTCATAAAGACATTCACAAAAGAGTGCCAGAACTGCGGAGGAAAGAGGCAAGAATGATGAGATAAATGCATTCCAAGGGAGGAGGTGTGTTTTGAGTGGAATTAATGACAATGTGTCTTTTTCTGTGGTAAAATTTTTCATTTAAGTTTTTACCGTATATCGTGATCATATATTCCATGATATATTACTATATATAATACATGTGTCATTGTCTTAGTTATTTTTCTCATTGCTAAGACAAAAATACCCAACACCTAAAGTTAAAAAGAGAAATGTTTATTTAACTTTGAGTTTCTAGAGGTTTCCGTCCATAATCAAATGGCTTCAAGGCAGAATGTCACATGGCAGAGGGGCAAGAGTTCGTGGCAGCTGAAGACAGCAAAACTGACAAAGACAAGACTCTTTCTTTCCCTTATATTGTGTGCAGGCTGCATGCCTTAGGGTGTAGCATTCACACCCTCAATACCAGCACTGGACCATGAATCAATCACAAACTCGAGACTCAGCAACCTCTGAAAATCCTACCCCCACATGAGTGCCTGGGGCTGGGGACACACCTAGATCCATCCTGTATTGTAGTCCTGATAGACAATCTGCTTTTAAATCTAGACTCCCATTATGAAGACACATCTAGTCAAAGTACCTGAACTCTATAATAGATATATGAGTCCTTATTTCTTGAAACCTAAATGATAGATGCCCCCAAATTAAATCATTGGTATAATTAGCAGTAGGAAAAAGAGATAAATAACCAAAGAACAATGAGCATGACTAATCCTTGGTATAGCATCACAAAATCTTCAATTTTAGGCTAAAAATTTCATCAGTACATGCTTCTGGTCTATTCATTTTGGGTAATGTGTACACATACAGATAGCCTATTTCTCTTAAGGTTCTTTTCTCCCTCTCTCCTCCATCTCTCAGTTCCTGCCCATTTGCCAACCATCTATCTCCTAATGTCACATTATCTATCTTTTATTTTGTTCTTCGGTTTACTTACTTTGAGTCCATTCTCAGGTGAAACCACACAGTTGGTTTGCATTGGTATTCTCTCTTATAGATCTTCTGAAATACAAGGAAAGAAACTACTTTTGTAAAATCAGAATAAAGTTTCTTTTCTTCCAATTATCATAGGAATTAGTAAACATTTTTCCAAATCTAAAATACATTAAGGATAACTAGTGATCTTGTTTGTCCACATCTTGAGACATTTTCACTCTATTTTTACCACTCCAGGAATTATTTTATCCTTATTTGTCAATCACAATGAGCTCAAAACACTTATTTAAACTAAAGCACAGGACCAGGGAGATAGCTCAGTAGAGCATTTGCCGGGCAAGCACAAGATCCTGAGTTCAATCTCCAGTACCATATTTAGGGCTGGCCAAATAGCTTAGTGGATTTCTGGGATCTTGACTATTATAGGACTCGGTCTGTTTTTAATTGGGTTGATGTTACTTGGAGTTCTGTGTGCTTCAGTTACCTGAATGTTAGATTGTTTCCCCATATTTGGGAAGTTTTCTGCTATTACTTCTGCCCATATTCTTTTTATGCCATTTGTATTGACTCCTTCCTTCTCCTTGATGCCTATTAGTCTCATGTTGTTCATCTTTTCATCATCTTGCAGGTGATGAATTATTTTTTCCTGCATCCTAGTTGTTTTTAAGAAATCTTTTCTTACCTTTTCACTAGCTGTGATAGCGTCTTCAAGATCTGAAACTCTATCTTCACTTTCATTCAAACGGTTCTGCAAGCTTGTGATTGAGATTTTAAGCTCCTCTACATCTCTTTGACTCTGCTTCATGCAATCTATTTCTTTCCTATATTGCTTATTCAAGGATTCCATAGTTTTTCTAATCTCCTCTATCTTTTTATCAGTGTCTTCTTGAAAAGCGGTTATTAAATTTTTTACTTCAGAGATTATTTCTGATCTGATTTCCTCTATGTTTCTGCATTTTATTCTTTTCTTCAGACGCTATTAATTCAGAGATTTCTTTTTTTTTTATTTCAGAGGTTATTTCTGATCTGAGTTCCTCTATACTTTCCTGCAGTTGTTTCTTTACTTCAGATACTATTAATTCAGACATTTAGCTGTGGGATTCCCAATTTCTTCTGTGCTAGTGTCTTCCGCATTTTTGGGGGGTGGGCTTGGGGTCTGAGATTGCATTTTGTTCCTTCTCTTTGTCATTTTGTATAACACTGTCCTCTGACCTTTGGTGTAGAGCTTTGGTACAGTTATAGCCTTAGCACCTACTGATATTTGGGTGCAGATCTATGAAGTGTGAATTCATCCAGTTGTGCCTGGTTTGGGTCTGGCTGCTGTGCTCAGCTTTTTCCTGCTGCAACCCTTGGAAGTGAACCAGTTGTGCCTCTCTGGCAAGATGTTCTGCTCCTGGATTAGTTGAGTGGTTCTGGCCCCTAGTCTCTCTGCAGGGACTTCAGCTACCATTTCAACCCAGGCCTGTATGCCAGGCCAGGCTAGGTCTGGAGGGGTCTAGAGAGCATGGTGAAAGTTGTCACTCATGAGCTGGGCCTGGGCTGGTTACAGAGGTGTGGAGCGGTCTCAAGAGCACAGCAGATGTTGTCAATCACACGCTGGGGCCTGGGCTAGGTCCAGAGGGGTCCAGCTGGCAAAGGGGAGTATGGAATCTCTCCCATACACTTGCTGGACCTGGGCTTGGGCTTGGTCTGGGGGATCCCAAGAGCACAAGGGAAGTTCTCAGCTCAGTGGATTAAAGCACCTGCTTAGGTGGATGCAGCATCCAGGGTTCAATGCTTGGCCTGCCATGCCCCTCCCCCCAGGGTGTGCTGAGACTAGGCGTGGTGGGATGCACCTGTAATCCCAGTGCTTGGGAGACTGAACACAGGCGGATCCCTACAAGTCTGATCTAGGGAGTGAGATCCTGTAGACCTTGTACTAAAATTAAAAAAAAAAAAACTAAAACAAAGATGAGGTTACCCATAACTGTGCTGATGTGGCAACTGAACATTTTATATAAGACCAGTCAAACTTGAGATCTGTTCTAAATGCAAACTATACATTTGATTTCAAAGAATCCAAATAAAAATAACATAAAATAGTTGTGTTCCATTTATGATAGTTTTTATGTTGATGGCATGTGGCAAAGATTACATTTTGCACCAAATAAAGTAATAAAATATTAATTTTTACTTTCTTTTTTATTTATATCTGCTTAAAATATTCATATTCTATATAATTCTATCAGATGACTGACCTGAAAAAATAATGCCATAAATACATAGGGTTATGACATCAATTTGCTGAATATAATTGCACAATATTTTACTGTGTTCTTTATAAGCGTAGCAACCACCTGCAAGCAGTAATATGGGGTACGATAAGTTTGCAGTCAGAATTTATCCATATCCCCTCTGCATCGTCAAAAGGTTAAAACTGACAGAAGGTATTTGGAAATTGTCAAAAATCAGGAGATGAACATGAAGAGAAAGTAGCGCTCTAGACTCTGAGTGTGGCGAGATTGATCGTGTATATTAATTCTCAGGCTGAGCCACAGTCCATTGAAATCCTCATTTAAATTTCACAAACATGAGCTCAGAGGATTAAAGCGCCTGCTTAGACAGACTCGGGGGACAGTAGATTCGATCCCGGGCCTGCCATGCTGGCCCACCCCAGTGGGGCGTTGAGCTGGGGAATGAGACTGGGCGTGGTAGCACGCCTGTAATCCTAGTGCTTTGGAGGTTGTAAAACAGTAAAGATCACTGTGAGTCTGATCTGTGTAGTGAGACCCTGTAGATCCTGTACTAAATACATAATAAACAAATTTATTTCACAAACACTACTTTCAATAACTAAGCAGCACAGTCCTAATGATGGAGAGGAACTATATCTA